AATGACTTGAAATATAAGTAGTGTTAAAAAAATTATGAAACGGTGAAATTCTTATTTTAAATTGAGGAAATTCAAATTTAAGTTATTCAAAGAGACTTCAATACCAATACTAAATCATGTAATGAAAGGCTTTGTTCTAATAGTAAATTTTAAAATCTTACTTCGGAATGAAATTTTACTTTATCTGTTAATTGAAGAGCAATCAAAGAAAGAGTACGATAAAACATTCCACACCAGGGGCTCCTCCATTTCAAACTAAACGTTGTTTGAGAAGTGACACCCTCCAAAAATTCCTTTGGGAATCTTCTCTAATTTTTTTCCCCTGTTTTCACATTTGTATAAAATATATCTTTTTATCATTAATTTGTTTTTGCTTTATTTCTTTTCTTAGCTTCACCAGAAAGATTACACAATTACTTATATTTGAATGCATACTGCTGTATGCGAAATGTAATAAAGATTAATCGTATTGTTCTTGTGGACGTAAAAAATCTTTGCAATCAGTAGTCCAGAGAACTCAAATGGGAACCAACCTGAGACCATTGATAGGTTAAATTTACGTTAATCTTACTCGTTTTTCGGTCAAAAGAGATCGTAGTAATACGTCAACTCAGTCCAGGGGTAAAATTCATTTGTCATTTCTAATCAGACAATTTTAGACACCTCGTATTGTCAATCAATACAGGCTCTCTATACTTCCTGTCCAATTTCATGGCACATTTTATTTTATTGTTATTTCGACGATTGCTATATCATACACAGTCAAGAAGTTTTGCTACAATATCGCCATCTTCAATAATCAAGGTTTTCTGATCCACTCCGCTCAAAATATAGCAATGTGGGTCAGAAATCCTTAACCCAAGATGCTCTGAATAGATCCGTAAATTTCGATTAGCTGAAGTAAAAATTGATTTTGAACTATAACTACTTCAACGTGATCCATTGCTTTCACGTTTGACCTTTATTACAAATCTTTATATAATAAATCTGATGATATTAACTTTTCCACTATCAACTTAACTTATTATTGTAGCAATGTACCATAATCACCTGCATACAGCGTTTATGTATTCCAGTGATTTAAAATGTTAAAATATTAATTACACACTGAATTGTCTACGGACTTTTAATTTTTTTCCCGATCATGAAAAGGAGCATACGACGGGTGTGTTCGGTCGGCAGGAGATGCTAACTTCTCCATCGCATCTGATCCCACCTCTGATGTTTTTAGAGGTCTGTGTTTTCTCTGCTACCAATTTTGTCTTTTTTCAATGGACTTTTGAACTTGATGTTTGTTGTTTCGTTCTTAACACACATTGCTTGGTTTGGCTGGGAGATATACACCCATATGCAAGTGATAAGGGTATAAATAATGCTACATAAGTAAGGGAATTTGACGATAGAATGTTAAAGTCATCACGTTCATCATAAAATTATTGTGGGTTTGTTACCATTATCGTCTTTTTCTTGTAAATTATCAAGACGTGAAACAAATATGTCATATGCTATGGTATCTTTTATTGCAACATCCCTGGGGTACTACTATGTCGAGTCGACACATGAATTGAATAATTATTGTTCATTGATAATTTGACGTCGATATATATCAAAATGTCGAATTGAAGGTCAGCAAGTATTTTCTTTTCCTGTTAAAGTTTTTTAAAAATCTGCCTAATAAAAATGCAAAAATAAAAATTTTATAAAAATAATAAAGCTAATAACGTGGCGCAATTGGGTGAACATGTGAAGTCCAACAGATTGATCTCCAAATACGTGATAGATATTGTCAACCAGAAACCCGCATATCTTTTTATAATAAACTTGAGAGTACTTGTGTGTGCAATCTGGATGTTTTTTTTTACAAAATAATTTTGGAAATGACCAATGACAAGTTAAGTAAATAAAAGAGAATAATTTTTATTGAAAAAAACCCAGCTTTCTTCGACGTCAAAAAAGCCTATGCTTTAATATCTCATCGGGAAAGATGCATATAATGTTATAAAAACTTTTTAAAGTTTTGATGTTATTGATTTTGATAAAATTTTGTGAATTCAGATTTTCTGAAAAGTGCCTTTTTCTGAAAAGTTTCGTGGAGTTTTATGTTTCCATTTTGATTTATGGACTTCTCAAATACAGTACTTTTGAAGTTTCTATTTCACTGCTGTTAATATCTAGGTAAGTTAGTGGTAAAGAAAGAGTCTCAGTGGAACATTTACTAGAACCCGCTTTTTTGTACGGATTTGTATAGTTCAGGAATTCAGTATAGGTATGGTAATTCTGTCCATTTTGATTGTTGGGAATATTGAAATATTTTAAACCGTTATATGATTTTGAAGGTTGGGAGTTACATGTATGGGTGAAAGTTTGATTACCACTTGTAGAATGAAACCCCAGTTCCTCTAAAATACAATCAAAATAATGAGCCTTCCAAAATAGACAAACCTTGTAACTGGTCCGAAATATCTGACGTTTCCAATCTGATCTTCACGACTTTGATATCAGTCCTGACTGTCAGGAAAACGGGCGTCAAAACAAGCGCCATTATGAAAAGCGGGTTTTTGCCGCTCGCAAGTGAACTCGATTTTCGATACTTACAAATCGAATTAAACGCACAACAAATCTATAGCATAATGCTTATAGTTCTCTACAATATCGCTTTAACGATATTTCAATACAGCTTTCACAAGATTTCAAAACAGGAAATCAAAAAACAAACCAGTAACCTAGATAGTTTAATAAAATGTTTTTACCAGATTCTTTATGTTACAAAACAAACAAGATAAAAGCAATTTTGGTAAGTACGATTAGTATTATACTGTTGATAAGATAAGTTCGAAATTTAATTCGGTTTGCATGCATGTATTGAAAATCGACCCGAATCTGAGACGGCTAATTTTCACTTTTCATAATTACAACTGTTCTGACGTTTTTATGACAAGTCAAAATCTTGAAGAAAAAAACGCCTAGACAACTTCAAATATTTCGGACTTTATTGTTACCTGCGTTGTCACTTGCTTTGAAGGATAAACATTGTAAAATTATGTTTGACAAAATTGAATACTTTAGGGTGTGACATGACTTTATAGGCAACGCAATTTGGGCGAAATCATGTTCAGTGACAAGAAAGTGCAAAATTACATCGATTTTTGTACTTTTGTCGTCTTCTGTTATTAAATCCACTTTATTTTCTTATTTCTTTTATCGTCTTCTTTACTGAATCTTACTTTGCTTTTTTTCAATTTGTAGATCGTTTTTTTTCTGGTCGTGGTCATCTTTGATTTGCATTTTCGTTGTCTCCATTTTAAAGACACATTTTGATTTTTTATTGATGGTCTTTTTATCTGATTAAGGCATATATATTTTTTTAGTTGTATTTTCGTTGTATTCTTTTACCGAGACCCATTTAAGGGGTTTTATTGGAGGAGGAGGGAGGTGTGATTTTTTTTCCTGTGAGGCCCATATTGTAGTTGTATATTGATTGTGGTCGATCTCTACCATTCCGACATCTTTTCTTCAATGGGAACTTTTTTGTATATCTTTATTTACATTTGTGGTACTGTGAGCACTCAGCTCACTATAAAATGATACCCCGTCTCCCATATGATTATAATAGCAAAATCCATGTTTTATTCTAGGAGATCCAAAATAAGTGTCAGATCAAAAAGGAAAATAGGAGGTGTACAATGGCTTTATGTAATAAATAGTCTGTGAAAGAAACATTTAATTTTATACAGTGATATAAGTTGAATTGCGAATAAGAGATGGGTGCCCTTCAGTTTAAAAGAAAGAATGGCAATGCCCATGTTTTGCTACGGGAGACCCAAAATATGTGTAGGATCAAAAAGTAAAATAGAAGGTGCACAATGGTACTATGTAACAAAGATTCTGTGAAAGTCTCAAGAATTACATTCAGTGGTATAAGAGGAAATGCGGATAAGAGATTGGTATCCCAAAGTGTAACAGACGGACGTACAGACAGACGGACGTACATCCCGATCACTATATACCCTCCCACTTTTGAAGCTGGGAGTATAAAAACAAAATATCACTGAAACATTCACAAATAGCTTGCACATATGTGTCAGGTAGATAGGTTATTATTTTCCATAAATGTTTTTATTACTTTGTATAAATAGAGTTTTTTTTACTACAACGAAGACAATAATAGCACCAAAAAATCAAGCTCTCTGGATCAGCAATGCTGATAGAACTGCTGTTACAATATTTAATCGCCACGCAAAGGGTGTATTATCAGAAAATGGAGTGCATATGCTTGTTTGTTTTTTCATAACTCAGTTCAGAAACAATAAAAATCCTCTTACAAGTCTCAACAGCTTGCTGTCTTCTGGTGGCTGGTGTTCTGGTGATTACATTAGGAAGTCGTGTTTTAATATCTCCAGGTTATTAAAAGCCGTGCCTTAACTGCATCACATATCTCACACTTAAGGAACCACACAAACGCCATTGAATTCCAATCTAATACTATAAACACTTCTATTTAATATAATGCACACTCCTGGAGAAATATTGTATAATTTATATTTCATATAGTAATATATCCGATCATGAAAAGCCATTTCATTACTTTGTCGATATGAAAGTTAATGGCGATCGATTTAATTTGACGTGGAATGAAATAAGAGAATTTCTGACACTGGGATCTCTGATAAAGTCTAGAGATTGATCACCAATCGTACTATAAGATGTAGTACTACATCACCGACGAGTGCTCTCCCGAGTTTCTAATGGTCCTAAAGAAAACATTGAAGATTCCAATCACGTGTCCAGTGCTATATGAAGTATCTTACATCCTTTCTATCTCTAAGCGTATCTTTGCTTAGTCTTAGACATCTCAACGATAATGCATTTAAATGTTAAATCATACGGAAAGGGCCGACTGATATAATAGGCTTAGTCAATGGAATAACGGGAAAAAGACGCTTTAGGATCTGACACCGCGGCTTTATCCCTTCAGCCAGAAATTAGCTTTGGACATTCAATAGTGAGGGAGAATCAACGGCTGATTTATGAAAAACTTGAATTTTCATATTGGAAACAATGAATGTGAGTAGAAATGACACAATACAATCGGCACCTCAGATCTCAACATTTTTACAATCGCTCTTCATCGTGATGTATTCGTTTATTATAGTGATTGCAGTTGGGGGAAACAGTGTCGTGTGTTATTTGGTGTACGCTTATAAGCGGATGAGGACGGTGCCAAACTACTTCATCGTCAATTTAGCCCTGAGTGATATTATAATGGCTATTTTCTGCATTCCCTTCACGTTTGTGGCCAATCTAATGCTTAATTATTGGCCGTTCGGAGAGTTAATGTGTCCAACAGTATGTTACCTTCAGATTGTCTCAGTATTTGTGAGTGCTTATACACTTATGGCAATGAGCGTAGACCGATATATAGTGATTGTACATCCGTTTAAGAAGAGAATAACTACAGGCTATACCTTATTTATCATTATTATCATTTGGATTTTATCTCTTTCTATCCCTATCCCCACATTGTTCAATGCTCGGATAGAGTACTATTCGAACACGAGTGGACAGTGCCTAGAGATTTGGGAAGGGAACGAGCGAGGGCGGTACGCTTATAGCGTAGGGATTATGGTACTACATTATTTTGCCCCGATGGTGGTCATGATGTTTTGTTACACGACAATTAGATATCATATATGGCTAAAACATAATCAGAAAGACGACCAGAACAAGAGGCGGCTACAACTGGCGTCTGCCAAACAAAAAGTAAGTGTGAAGTATGATGTATAAAGATGCATTAAAGCAATGTACAATGTTGTCATATTTTGTCACGTTTAACACTGTTCTTTACAATTCATTGTAAACCCTGCTATTCAACTCGTAAAATTTTTTCTTAATGTTTTAAGAATTCTTTAAAAAAAAAAACAGACTGGAAGTCGTGAGGAAGTTCTTATGCGACAGTCATGTGTTACAAAACTACAGCAGTGGAGATAACGAATATTGAGAATTAAAAAAAATATACAAACAATATAAATCGAACAGGGCATTCAAATGCACACGCAGAAATTTCAAATGTAGGATCAAGTATCTAGGAGAAAAAAAAGCCTCCCCTTTAATCGGTTACACCCGCCGTGAACCCTATGACTGATCAAGTAGACGGGATTCCCAGTCGAAATTAGTTTAAAACTAGAGGTACTGTGAGCAATGAGCTCACTAAATGATACCCCCGCCTCCCATATGATTATAATGGCAAAGTCCATGTTTTGCTGTGGCCGGGAAACCCCAAATATGTGTCAGATCAAAAAATAAAATAGTAGGTGCACAATGGCAATATGTAATAAAGATTCTGTGAAAGTTTCATTAAATTTCACTCAGTGGTGTAAGAGGAATTGCGGATAAGAGATGGGTACCCCAAAGCGTAACAGACAGACGGACGGACGGACATACTGAATATAGTATACCCTCCCACTTTTCAAGCGGGGGTATAACAAAGACCATAAAATTAGTATAAGAGGGTCAGCCAAAATACGACCCAATGATAGGTCATACTTATAAACAAGATCATCAGAAAACCATAGAATTAACGAAATACTGACTTCAGGTAGGTTGTTGAAATCCCTGAGAAATCAACTTGTATGTGAATAGCATGTCTAGTTTAAAAAATGAACTTACTCGTAATTTAGATTAAATTTAATAAAGTATTATTTTTTAAAAAGCTCCAAAAAAAAAAATCATTTTATATTCTGAAAGGTATTGTGTCAGGTTTTAATCTACATATTTTAAGGTAATTACATGTAGCAATGCAGATTAAAATACATTTGTATATTACATTCATATTTTTGTTAAATTACAGGTATCCTGTTAAAGTATACAAAAATTCATGAAAGGAATCAATGTATAAAAGCTAAAAGCTTATTTCCAGTGGGACTATGTTAGCTACTGATTCCCTAAATGCGTAATGAATATTTAATTAGATAATGCTTTTATGTTCAACAATAAGAGTAATATGGAAATTTGTTATCTATTAATATATATATATACATGTACATTGTATGAATAGGGAGTTTCTATAGGCACCAGGTTTATTAAATAACCTTTGGCGATACATATTTTACAGCTAGATAATCGAATTTTGATGCATTCGCAATAGGTCTTTGAAATAATTTTCTTTGTACAATTCCTTTCATAGTACTTGTATGGACTTTCCTGAAGCTATGAACTTGCATAGGACTTGATTTCTAATCGAATACAAAGTAAGCATTGGAAATCATGTAAAATCATGCAAAGTATAATGCCATCTTTTGGCATTATTTATACAGCAGTGTTCTTTTTCTGTGCTACATTTTGACAAAACCAAGATGAGTATGGTAAATGTGCATAGTACTTGGAAAAATACACATCTTTAAGAAGTCAATTTGAAAATTTCGACTAAGTAGTATCAAAGAAAGCTCGGTTTATCCATCTTCGGTAACCCACGGGTGATTCCCATCAATTCTCTCTATCATCTTGTGGACTCAAAACCCGTGGTTTGCGACGATGGGTTTATGTAATTGCTAATTTGTAAAATACCTAAGGTAGAATCGTACAGATGAAACGTCATACCAATTATTGATAAAGTTCCCTATGAAAATTTAAGATAAATTATTTTAAAGGGCATGCACCTTTCACATAAGATATTTAATACATATTCAGATTATGTCATTTTCTTGAAGTTCGATGATGTTGCGTTTCATTACAAGAAAGATGTGACCTTAATTTGTGCGAAAACCCCATTTGAGTTTAAAAAGTGCGCGGAGCTGTAAATGTCTATTTATCTTTATTCTATTATTTGTAATTTGTCCCCCACTGAAAGAGAGGGATATTAATTTCGGTCTGTCTGTACGTCTGTTTGTGGTTCTGTCTGTTTGTAATTATAACACTTTCGTTTCCACGCGATATATCGAGAAACCTTTGATCTTTTGCAGTGAATTTTTTAAATATCCCCCTATGGCCTAAGAAAGCCTTACAAATTTGATAAATTTTCACAAGTGAATAATGAAACAAAGTATATTACCATATATGATCATAGTAGAACTCCATCCTTCATCCAGAACTACAACCTAAGGGCCACAAATTTAACAATTCTGGAAGAGGCACCATTGCTCATTATACATGTAACCAAGCAATACTTTCTCTGCTAAAAACTCAAGAATAGATGATTATTTGGAATACTCAAATTGAATGCAATTTTTACTGTATGACCGTCTTGACATAAGAATCCCGACCTAGGGGCGTCAATTTCACAATTTCTGAAAGAAGCACCTTTGCTCATCAGATTCGTGCACTTGATTATCTGCTTAATGTACAGAAGGGAAGATTTTAAAAAGAAATTATGCAATTGCACTATATGATCAATAGGGTCCCACACTTACTCAAGGGCCCCTGAACTTTTCAGGAGTTATGTACCTGAGGGATAAAAACTAGAAAGCAATACTTCAACTGAGTGATCTAAAAACTTTAAGAAAGTTCACAAAACCTAGATTGAAATATTTTTGGGAAGCACAATGACGTGGAAGGGGAAAGGAGACGGGGAGGGGTCTTTGAATAAAAAATTCTCTTCAAGACTTCTCTCAAATAAGAATAACAAGGTGGGCGAGTTAAAGACGATGATTTCCTTTCTATTTTTTGGAAACACCTTGTGTGAGAAATGTGTTAAGTGCATACATGTTTTATACCCCCAGATAGATGAAGTTATAAAGCTATGATGATAACAGGCATTGTTTATTTAAAGCATGCATACCAGTACTTCCGGTCGTACAGAATCATTGATTTCAGAGCGTACTGAGTACTATACCCTTCAGGCAATGATATAAACTGAGTTACACATTAAAGTGTACATAGAAGTCGTGTCTAAACCGTTCATAAAGTTCAATCATTCTTAACTGATAGGCATTTGAAAAAACGAAGAATTAAAAAAAAGGAAATTTATGTTGTATATATTGGCAAATGAACGGAAGGTTTAATGGCTTTAATTATCAATAACAATCTTTAAGCCGTCATCATAAAAACACAATTTGTTTACCCTCGTTCTCCTTCTTGCTTTACGGACCATAAGGAGGTGTAATCAGGTAAAGCATCTTGTTAAATCTTCCTGCATTAAATTTTCTGCAGAGAGTTTGGAGTTGTTAGAGAGTAGGCTTGCTTGCCGAGGCTTGCAGAACTTCGTGCAAATCGGTCATTAAGCTTCCGACGATCTGAAATAATCGGTGTGTATAATAATTATTCTCACTTCACATTAAACCTCCCCGATCGAGCATTAAGATATGACTGATATGAAAACTTGTGCTGGAAATATTCTCTTTTTACCATAGAAAATCATGAACAGTGCCTCCATGGAGTTTTGTCTTCTGTTTCTTTTTTTTTTCTTTTTCAATTTTTTCTACGTCTTTTAAAATGTCTTGATGTGCTGTTGGTAGCGGTAGACACCTGAGTATTCCCTGACATGCTCAAATTTAATCATACTTTTTTTTGTTTTCATTTAAGAAAGTAAATCAAATGATTTTTAATCGTTTCAGGCGTCTTTGTTTTGTATTTATATGAAGCAGAATTTATTCAAAAACTTGTACATGTGAAGAACACACACACTTTGTCCTTCATCTCTACATTTAGATAAATCGAAGTATTACCAATTACATGTAACAATAGTTACTTCCATTTATATGTCGATATATCCAATTGAACGTGATGAAAATAATTCCATTGAGTCTGGCACATATTTGGATTTTTTACTAGAAAAAGGACGTTAATGGTAACCTAACAACAAATCTGTATAAAAAACGTGATGACTTCAAGGTTTCTAATAACTTTCTATCATCAGCTTCCCTTACTTGTGTGGCAGTATACCCACTGCACCTGCAAATGGGATATACTAGTATGGCTCCCAGTTGATCCAATGAGTGCAAAAGAGCATACAAAAATTTTCTATAAGGAGACAAAATATCATTGACAAACAACTCGATGACACAAGCCTTTTTTTAAAAGTCATCATTTCACAAAGTTCTATGTTCAATACAATAACCTTTCTTTAAAAAGTATCCTTAAATCGAATTCTTTGTAACTTATTCATATTAATTGTTATATCATAATTTAGACATTGAGAAAGGATTCAGGATGGGTGTGACCGGTCGGCAGAGGATGCTCCCTCCCCAATGGTATCTGATCCCACCTCTGATGTTTTAAAGGTCTGCCTTTTTCTCTGCCCCCGGTTTGTACAGTTTCAATGGGTTTTTGATCTTGACCTCTGTTCGTTATCTCCATTTCTTATTGTAATGAATTTGTCAAGAATTTCTTTTCTTTTTCTTATAGTTTTAATTACATTGCAAGCAGGTTTCTCTGCTGTAACAAAGTACAATACCTCATTTAGTCCAATGTATCAATATGTCTTTAATGACTTAGGTTCCAATATGCTTATATTGGTCAATACCTGAAGTCAAATTAATCTTGCAAATCTAAACTAGGTTAGACATGCCCAAAAGCATATTGGATCAATAGCAATCACAGGAAAAACAAAATCATTCATTGAATGTGGAGGTTTGAGAAATGTGACGACCGCTAATACAGCTGCATGAATGTCAGTGTTAGGGAAATGTATTGTTCTGATCGGTCCAAGTGTAGTAATATGGATGAATACCAGTACCTTTGAGTACCATTATTTATGGTAATGCACCACTACACTTGGTAAAATATTGGTTCTCATGAGAACTAATGTTCATGAAATGAAAAATAAG